ATGCATAAAAATTGGGGGAAATATGCAGATTCCAATGCTAATGCAGCAAAAAAGTTTGTAGCTAAAATAGTATAATATGTCTGAAAATAAATCAACAAGAGTAACTAGGAAGGTGGTGATGCCAAATTGAAGATAGTACCTGTTTGAGCAACATGAACACTATCAAAACCAACGTCAGAACACACTTCAAATTCATAGTCAAGCTGAGATGAAAGTATAGGCAAATGATTAACATTTTAGGACAATTTTATAGAGATAAGGCCCGAAAGTAATTTAGCTATTACAATTGGATAACTCATTTCAAGAATGAACTAGTTTTGGAAGACTATGTTACAGTGGCAGGCCATCTACTCAGTTTGCAAAGAAAAAATCAATGATGTTCTTTCCCCTAAATGAAGAGGATTAGAATATAATAACGTTAACAAAAGCCAGCACACTCGACATTCAGCTTACACGATTTTGACAGAATTGAAGCTCAGCAATCTTTCAGGTCAATGCTTCCCCAAGCTGATATGCCCAGACCAGTGGCAAATAAGGGTGCATCTCTCAACAGAGAATCTAAACAACTGGGATCAAGATCCTGAAGCACATCTTCAGAGAACTGTAATGGGGGACAAAAAAATGGCTTTATCAGTATGATCCCAAAGACACTACCTAATCAATGCTGTGGCTACTGAGGAGTGGATGAGGAAGGTCATGGCAATTATTTTTAGATGCTCAGAGCATTTTGCATCCTGACTTTCTTGGGACCTAAAGAATAATAAATTTTTTGGATAGGAAGGTAACTTGGGGAGGTTGTCCAAGACAAGCAGAAATCTGCCTTAGGAAAGCTTCATCAGCACCACCTTTTCACTATGACAACACACTCTCTCAACTCCTGCCAAGCATTGGTAGTGTTACATGGGATTCAATAGGATATCCTTTGCATCCACATTGCAGTTGCGATTTGGCTCTGTTTGATTCTTTGAATTCACAAATCTTCAGAAGTCATCATAAGGCACCACTCTATTTTTAATATGGAAAAACCCTGTCTTGACAAGGTTTGAATCTCAAGACCCAAAATTTTATAAAGATGCACTAAATGCTTGGTAGCACTGCTTACATAAGTGTATTGAGTTTGATGGTGGCTTCCTTTAAAAACAAATGTGCCAAGTTTTTCTGTTCATTTTTAATGCCATTTTCAATGGACTTTTTGAAGTCCCCCTCCCCTCCAAGTGTGTGTGTGTGTGTGTGTGTGTGTGTGTGTGTGTGTGTGTGTGTGTGTGTGTGTGTGTGTGTGTGTGTGTGACAATTGTAGACATTGGAAAATGGTTAAAAAGCTAAAAATGCTTATGCAGAAAAAGACAAAAGAACATTGGAAAGGGGAGGCATTGAGTCTGTCACCAAACATTTGCCAGGCCAACAAGCAACACACCAGTCAGAGTGGCCACTCATCTAAGCCTAATCCCTGTATCTCAGGCCTCGTGATGGCAGTGAAGCATCCAGACCCAATGGGTTAATTGTATTTACATAAAGATGGCTCCACAAGTGTTTACTTCTTTAACCGATTCACGATAGGTAAAAATGAACAAAAAAATGGGGAAAATGCTATGCTCATTTTTTATACCTTTTGTGAAATGTCTCTACACATAGATGGCTCTGCCTTACCTGATTTCATTTGGCGGGAAAATGTATTTTTTACTAGTGCTATGAATATCGATGGTTATTTTTATTATAAACATTATAATTATTATAATGTTATAAACATTAGTAACAGCAAAATAAGATAACGTAAAATATTTTCGTAAACTAAAGAAAAGGGTAAATGGGCGAGACAGGCAGTACAAGTACAAATGTAGCCATCTATGTGTAAAAACAATGAAACAAGTAAACTCACAGTGGGCATGTCACGTACATGTGACACCCGGCGTGAATGGGTTAATCCTTTTCTTTGGTTTTCAGTATTATTTCACCATATTTCATATTGCTATTGGTAATGTTAACGAAACTGTAATAATTATAATATCTATAATGATAATAAAAACAGCATCATTCTTAGTAACTTAACCCATTCCCGCCGGGCATGCCATGCCATACCCACTGTGAGATTACTTGTTAGATTGTTTTTACACATAGATGGCTACACTTGTACTATCTCCCCAAAGAGCCAGTTACGAGTACCGCCTGTCTCGCCCGTTCACCCTTTTTTTTTTATTTCTTTGATATTTTACGTTATCTTATTTTGCTGTTACTAATGTTAAAAAACATTATGAAAATTATAATGTTTATGATAAAAATAACACCATCGATATTCATGGCACTAGTGAAAATTACGTCTTTCCCTCCATTTCAAATCAGGCACTAACAGAGCCATCTATGGGCAGACATTTAACAAAAAAGTATAGAAAATAGGCACAGCATTTTCCCCAATTTTTGTTCATTTTCCCTGGCGGCAATGGGTTGAGAAAAGAACATTTTTCCTGAAAACCCAAGGAAAGGGAAAATCAGGTAAGAATACTAA